GGGGGGGAGCGGCTTCAGCTGTCGACTGAGCATGTAAATAATCTAGGAGAGCTGTGACTTTGGCTGCCTGTCACCCTAATGCGGTCAGTGTGGCACGCCACCTACAGGCCACCCTGACAAAGGACCCCTGCCGCTCCCCCAAATCCCAGCTCATGGTTCCAGTAGTGATGGCCAGTTGCCCGCAGTCACCGCAGCTCGAGCTAAACAGCTGCGACTGCCTTGGTCAGTTAGACACAGTCCGTCCCTTATTACGGAGGGGGGGGCATAGCACCACATTGAGACTACCCAAATGTGTGGCGGGAGGGGGGGGCACAGTTGCATACAGTGCAGCGCCTTGACCTGTGAACTGTAAAAGCCCACCCCATCATGTCCCACGCCGGCATGCGCGCTTGCGGAGGCCAAGCTGATGTCAGTTGGTAAGAATGTGTAATCCCATTCCGCACAGGCTCACGCGTCTCCCAGAGAAAACAGTATCAGCCGTGAGGTCACAGCCCAGGAATCCCCCGGGCGGGAGCTGCACAGCCATGACATGCTTTTTAATTAAATCTTTCACTTTCCGAAATGGCAGTTGGGAAAAGCCCGGTTTCTGGCTCGGTTCCCGACCCAAACAAAAGCCTTCCAGGTGTCTGTTCTACAAATTGATCCCTTTCACACTGGGCCCTGCCTGCTATGTCATGTGCTCATCCCGAAGTGTTTAAAACATGCCTCAGTGATTGAAAGGGAAGTGATTAAAAACTCTGGGGGGGGGGGGGTTGTGAGTCCCTACAGGCACCTCAGGAAGCAGGAACGAACAGGCGGCCCCACTGTGAAATTCCATGTCCGATCCACCCCCCACCTGGGGTGTCACAGCCCCTCAGTCCCCTAGAACTTCCATGGCTTCCTGTCCTCTCACCTTTCCAGCTCTACCTTTCCTACCTTACCGGGGAAGGACAGTGCCCAGCTGAACCAGCAGAGGTCCTCCCATGTTAATAATACGAAAACCTCGGCGGCAGAAGCAGGCAGCCAGGCCTCACGCGCAGACATGCAGACATGCAGACACCCTCTACCAGTAACAAACACATATGCACGTCTTGCCACCAACAAGCACAGAACACAAACATGAAGAATATTCCAGACCTGCGTAACATGATCAGTTTTAATACTTTTTTAATTCCTAAACCGCACAATCAGCCGTGCAGAATCGGGTTTCATTTCTACTCCTGCTTTCCCAGGTAATCTGACATTTCTGCAGCTAATAACGGCAGTAGTGACCCTGGCAATTTAGGTAAACACTCGGCAAACACTCCCGGATCCCGCTGTCTCTCTCCACCAAGATCAGAAACCTTGCACCTAAACCCTCAAATATCAACAGGAAATCAGTTCTGGGACCATTACATATGACCTTGTGTAAATTCCACTGACAGTCCACAAGGATTTTTAGCTGCTGATAAGCAGTGACCTTCAGATGCTAGCCTGAGGACCACTCAAACCTGACACAGCACCGAAGCTGGAAGAAACCTTCTCTCTTACTAAGCAAACACGGCGCCGGTATCCGTCCAGGGCAGCCTTACTCATTCCTTACACTCCACTTTTCTCCCCAATTCTTTCCATTCTTTCACCTATTTTTTTTTTTGTGCCTGGTGGGTTCATTAAAGTGTATCAGTCACAGATTTCTAACTGCTAAGCAGAAAGGCAGAGGTGCTGGCAGAGTCACACACGGCTGTGGTGTGGCGATGCGGAACCTGACGTGCATGTGCCGGCTGCCAGAGAGTGTCGTGCAACACGGACACAGGACAGGCTTGCACGCGTGTGCCTTCACACGGATCTGTTTAACTTTTTATGACGTCTTAACACGGGGAGTGGGGGGGTGGCACACATGACAAGTTAATATTCCATTTTGAAACATTCTCAGGACGGCTTTGTGCAATTAAGTCACAGCCAATTAATGCAGCACATCTCCAGAGGTCCACGGCCGACCCGGCAAGGCCATGTGTTACTGCCGTGTCAACTATCAGAGAACAGGCAGGAAGCAGGGAAAACAGACATGTTACACTCCCCACCACTGCACCCATTCAGCCTGAACAGCTGGAAACGAGAACATATTATTCGATTCTACACACATGGAAATATTACCATTATTTACCGAGCTTTTGTATCACCAAAGGCCCACTTTACTGCCTTCCCGCAGGAAACGAAAAAGTATATATATACATGATGGACTTCAATATGCCGTGCCCCCCCCCTCCCCAGTATGTTTTAACATTCATCCTCTGCATATCCATACTATGACACAGAGCCTTACATCTGGCATGGGGGGGGAGCATGAAGACTGCCTGCCAGCTAGCACTCTTTGTCTCTTTGCCATAAATTTATTCCACCACACAGGCGACCCCCATCTCATCTCCACTGCTGTGAATCGTGAGGAGGATTGGTGGGGGGGGGGGGACGACTCAGACTTGTCGTTTCTATATTTCACAGGATAATCTTGCCTCTGCTTAGTCTCCAGGTGTCTCCCACTTCCTTGGTGGTGAGAGAAGGGAGATGTGATCGACCCCCCCCCCCCCCCNTTCCTTGGTGGTGAGAGAAGGGAGATGTGATCGAACGTCCTGCCCCCGCAGATGGAGGGGATCACATTTGACGACAGCCCACCCTATCGAGTTACACACACTCACTCCGGGCAGGAGACACACGTGGGCCTCGTGCACGCGCACGTGCACGTGCACACGCACACCACAGCCCAGCACCCACCTGCCGAGACAGTTTAACGAGTCAAACCCTGTGACAGACATTAAGGCCGCGTCACAAGTGGCTTCTCATGTATTGTGTCTGAAATCTGATTACAAACACGGTACAGGCCGGGGTGCCTAACCATGACTGTCATGGTGCCGTTCGGAGCACCACTGACCGGGAACGTTGAGGCCGACCTCCCGGCTGTGGCTGTCCGCCTCATCCGTCTCACGGTCCCTCTGCCCTCCGAGCTCCCCATAGTACAGGGCGATGCCCAATTCCATGACGCGGATGAACATGGGCAGCTGCTGATCGGTGATGGACAGCTTCAGAGTCTCCACCATCGTCTGGATCTGTTATCATAAGAGCCCAATAAAAATGCCTCATTAATAAAACAAAACAGCAAAACATTGACTTGAGATAATAGTGAACAAGAACATGTTCTGCAGAAAACACATCGCATGTGTCCAGTCTTCCAATGACCCCTATTCTACATAGACCATTTAAGTTACAAAGACAGCTTTAAGGAGCCCTTCATTTCATTTCATCACTCAAGGAATTAAGGCCTGATTTTCAATAACAAGTACTAATAAAACCCCATCAGACGACAACATGGAAAACATGAAAACAGCACAATAACAAGCATTAATCGCTGCCGTCACGTCCGGCTGGCAGCTTCGGGGGGGGGGGGGGGGGGGGGCTCTCACTTTAATGACAGAAGGGATCTTGGCGTTGATGTTATCGTAGGTGAAATGCAGACGCGTCCTGAAGGAGCACTTGTAGAGCAGCGGGTCCTGGTAGAATTCAATCTTCCCGCTGGCGTTCCTCTTGTCCAGGCAGACGGTGCAGTCGGAGAAATTGATGGCTTTCCTCAGGACGAGGTCAGGGGCTGAGTGAAACACAAGAGCGCAGTTTTACAAGGGCGAGGGGGGAGGATGATGAGGAAAAGCAGCCAGACCCTTGCAGTAAATCCCAGTTATCTGCCTGTTTCAGTCCAGGGAAGCAGACAAGGAAGGAGAGGACAACATAGTCCAGGGCTCAGCCGGGCCGGCAGCGCCAACGAGTGAGGGAGGACCAACAGGTAAGTCATCTGGTTGTGAAACGTCACTCGTTTATCCAGTTTATGGGGCACTGAAGCCATCTTATGGGGTATACAGTGGTTCAGGGAGCAGCGTCACTGCTTCCAACCTCCAGCGTAGAGGATTCGGCTCCTGCCTCTGCTGTGTGTGAGGTTTGCATGTTCTGCTTGTGTTTTGTCCCAAAGACACGCACAGAATGGCATTTCCCCATGGCCTGTGACAGACTGACATCCCACCTAGGGTGTCCCCTGCCTTGTGCCCTGTGACAGACTGGCAGCCCACCTAGGGTGTCCCCTGCCACGTGCCTCAGACTTCCTGGGTTGGACTCTAGGCTCACTGTAGCCCTGTCCTGGATAAGCTGTTATACAAGATGGATGGACGCATAGAAGAAGCCTTATGTGACAAAAAAGGAAGCTAGCTACAGACAAAATATAGTGTAGGACTGTGCCCCCCCGCCCCCCAGCCCCCCCGCGACCCGTGGCCTCACAGAGCCGCTTTCTGTCCTACGCTGGTACAGAAACAGCTGCACACAGCGATACCGTCTCTAATGAGAAAGCCAAACGGCCCACAGCCACGTCTGGCTGTTAGCGGAGCTCCCTCATTCCTTCTGGCCAGGAAGGTCACATTTAGCACACTTAGCCCGGTAACTTTATGCTTCCGTTGATTATTTTTGCATACCGCGCAGCCAGGATACAATCCAATCGCGCCAGCTACATAGAGACACCACTCAACGACAAGAATGCTCATATTTCGACCTCTACCATATGTAGGGACTTGAGAATACGCTCGTCTGAAGGACCACCTCGAAGAAAAGTGATTTACGTACGAACTGCACCAAAGCGCAAACCTGGGATTTAAACTACATGTTAAACATTGAGTCTTAATCTTCCAACATAGCAGTAAGTATATTAAATGGATCGAAACAGCAACATGGCTACTGCTGTCAATAAATTAGATTTATTTCTAAAGCTAGCGGCTATCGGCAATGTTCCTCGGTATATTAGCTGGCACGACTCCAAACACCAGGTCTGTGCGTCATTCTGCTAACATTTTTCAAAATAAATGCAACCATCATAAATCAAGCCCCACCTGATTACCCCCCCTCCACCAGTGCTTAACTTAGGTGCTTAAGAACGGAAGGCTGCCAGTTCAAGTCCCAGTAAGGACACCACTGTAGTATAAGATGTTCAACCTGAATTGTTCAACTAAAAAATAAGTGTAAGTGCTGGTCTGGGAGAGATAACACAGAATAAGAGAGCGGCGACACTTGCCTCCATTGCATGTCATACTATATCACTGATATATAAATAAATCTAAACGAATGAAATATAATAATAATAATAATCATAATAATAAATACGCAGAAACATTCTGGGCTGGACCAATTATTTTCAAAGTAGGGCTACATCCAAACAGGGTAATTTTTAAATGGTTTAATCATTCTTATAAGCTACAATAATAGTAGCTTTTACAAAATTAACTGTAAATTCAAAGGAAAAGATTTGCAGGCATCTGCATAAGTTTGAATAAAAAACTTTACCTATACGAATATAATAAATTTATAAACGAGAGGAGGCCATTCGGCCCATCAAGCTCGTTTGGGGAGAACTTCACTAATTGCTCGGAGTTGTTAAAATCTTATCTAGCTCTGATTTAAAGGAACCCAGGGTTTTAGCTTGCGCTACAGTAACAGGAAGACTATTCCATACTCTAACTACAAGCTGTGTAAAGAAGTGTTTTCTCAAATTAATTTTAAAATGTTCTCCCGCTAATTTCCACATATGGCCACGAGTTCTAGGATTTAAACTAATACTGAAGGAGCCATTTGGCTGAACAGCATCCAGACCTGTTAGAGTCCCCCCTTAGTCTCCTCTGCTGGAGGCTGAACAGATTCAGCTCAGCTAACTTCACCCTTTTTGTTTTTTATAATGACCACACCAGTGACCCAGTAAAAATAGCGCCAAAGGCCGTCTTGAGCCCAGGTTTGGCCCCATTTCATTAATTCCTGCCCTTGATTGCTGTGTTTATCGAGTTGTCCAGGCCTCTCCATGTACTTGGAGGCTGACAGACTAAGAAAGGACCCTGCGTGGGCGCCCTGCTCCGCCAGCACCTGTCACGTCCATGAAGGCGCGGTCCCAGAACTCGTCCACAGTGAAGCAGTCAGCTGAGGTGATGTTGACTGAGAGCACGATGTCGTCCTCCACGTACTTCAGGATCAGGTTGTTCACCACGATGTTGACGTTGTTCACCACTCGTCTGATCAGGCTCTGGACATAACCTGGGACAAACGGGGGGGGGGGGGGGGGGTTAAGACATCACAGCTGCACTCCTACACCCTACCGACTGCAACCCCCCCCAGACGGTGAAAGACTGACCTTTGTGGTCCACACACACTCATAAATAAGCGGTGGGACTGACGTGTTATTTTTCGCTGTGGTGTTGCCCTTGGACATGAACTGTGAAACAAGCTAAACATCCATAAGCAAACATTTCTGCTGCACTAGTCGGCCCAGCAGCAGCACTCACACCCAGCAGATTTACGGAGCTCGGACGCAGTGTCCAGCGTGGCTGGAGGCCAGGGGCCCGCAGGCCAGGGGCCCGCAGCCGTGCGCAGAGAAGCTGCATGTTTCCTGATATCGAGCGCTGCTTCTTCACATGGCTAAATGTTACCTTACAGCCCCCAGGGAAATCTGCAGCTGTACCCTCATTGTTTCTGTAAATATTAATGGCTAAAGCAGAAAAAGGCGACTTCGGCACCCCCACAAAAAAGAATTTGCAAGGTGCAATTTCAATAATAACTGTTTAAAAGCCTTACTGCACAAATCTGATTACCTAAGATCAGTCTAAAAGAAGAAGGATTTGAAAAGGGCCGCCATCCCATAATGATGGGGGAGAGGAATTACACAAAAAGTTGCCGTATTTGTTGACTACACCTCACATTCCCTCTGCCTGCAGAAATCCCTCACTGACCTTCAGTCACTTGACTCCACAGTCCCCCCAGGTACCTCTACTAAATGCCCCTGAAGGGGGTCGCTGCCACTTGCATACCATGCATGTGCACCAGTCACCGACCATCAGTAACTCCATACCAATGCGGAGAAACAGAAGCTCGCAAGGAAAAACATACATGGTAAGGTCGTTACTCAACAAAGCAAGAAAGAACTTAAAATATTACAGACAGGGGAGTCTCCACCATAAAATAAAGAAAATATACTGCAATAAATCCTGCTAACCACAGGACCAATAGCATTATTCATTCTTCCCATGTACTGTTAAACACAGTCACAGAGTTAAACACGTAAAACTAATGCCTTCTCCTTATTTTCCAAGCAAAACGTTTGCCTTCCTGCATCTGCACGGCTCAAGTGATAATTAACGCAGCATCGTTAACGAAACTCACAGAGGGCCGGTGTGTACCTGAGTGGACATGACTGCCCCCCCAACCCCCCCACCATCCCACTGGGACAGCTTGGCTGAATTGCGCTCCACGGCGCATGGAAAAAATAATGGAAATGGTGGAATTAATGGTCGGAAACCGTGCCGACCTGGGGGGGGGGGGGTCGTCCTCAAGCCACGGAGGCCGGCTCTGCAGAAACCACCGAAACTGTGCGGTTTGACTGACAGTAATAAGAACGCAGTCACAGAACCTGACCTGTAACAGCAGAGGCAGAGTGCCAGCACCAATGAGAGGCAGGCAAACATGTGACCACATCACTAACACGGACTCTGATTGCCTGCGTGCATTAACGACGATAACAGTAAACTGAAGTCCCCTGTCCTGCCCTCTACCCCCCCATGGCCCCGCCTCCGCCCCGCCCCAATCCTTTTGCGTGAGGTATCCGGGTCAGCAAGAAGGCTGCCTACTGCACCTGCAGCTGGGGCAATAAAAATCCAGGCTTTGCCAAGCACCACCCCCCACCCCAACTCCACCAACCACCACCATTCCTTCCTCTGGATCCAATTTGCTGTGCCGTGGAGCCCCGCCGCCTCTCCCAGCCTCCGCCGCCTCTCCCAGCCTCCGCCACGAGGTATTTCTGTAAACAGGCTGCGCCGCCAGCACCTGTGCCGCGGCCCCACAGCCGAAGGAGGCCACTTAAAGCCGCTCAGCCATGAAACGAGTGGAAAAACCGAGGCCTTTATGGGATCCCCGGGCAGGCCGGGTGAGCGGAGAGGAAGGAGAGGCAGGCCGTGCCGTGCCGCGCGCGAGGAAAAGGCCGGCCAGCTAGTGGTGCCCGGGCACAGAGGCCATCGTAGGCACACCCACACCCAGCAGGCCTGCATTCGGCTCCTCTCACAAACCTACAATTAGCGTTTTTACCGAAATAGATCTTTTAATCTGAACATATGGCTACCGATGCGTAAAAGCCTCTTTCAAGTGAAGGCGCCATATAATTCACAGGATTTAAAAAAGTCATTTACATCTCGGAAGAACTGTTTTATTTGTCTTCAAAGGGCTGTTATTAAGTGATACAAACTTTCAGCCCTTCCAGATGGCCTTTTAATTATTATTTTATTTATATACATACATAAATATTTTTATACATACCAAACCTGTGAACAGGCCAACGTGGCTATTTATATACGAAAGTTCATTTTTAAAATCAGATTTTAATTGCAGGTTAGAAGTTTACAACGTGTTGTGCAAACAGACTCACGGTTGCGCGCTTTAGGTTCTCGTCTTGAGGACCTACGGACAGTAAGGTAAGCAGAGGCGGCTGCTCAGTCGAAAACAGCAGCAGCCCCGGTTCTGGGATTTTAACACAGAGCTTAAAAGGCAGCGTTGTGAGTCAGACCCGCAGAGTTCCCATGTCACGCCAGGGCACCTCACCTCCCCTCGGCCCCAGATTGCCCTGACGATGTTCTTCTCCAGCCGCATGGGGTGACACGATTTTCCAGGCAGCAGCAGTTAATCAAAGCAAAGGGCAACTGGTTTCTAAACGAATCCCAAACTGGGAAAATTCACAGAGGGCAAACATTTGGCCTCCCCAGTTGAGGCAGATTCCAGATTCTTCTACAGAATCATGGAGTAAGAAACCTGACTGCAATCACCGGTGGCACAAAAAGAACATCTGACCTACGATCTGAACTGGGCCTGGTCTCAGTACCACCTCAACAAACCAGCCCATAAACATGAATCGGTTTGTGTCATACACTGGCTTTTCATCCCTTCTCACCAAGAGAGAATCCCCGTCTAAATCAGCACAGGTGAGAGACACCCAAGCGTAAGCCACAGCGCCCCCCACAGCAAAGGCAGAGTGTGTTATTATTGGGCACACCAGGGAGGGACAGCGGGCATCGCCAGGCTCACCCATGGCTTAAAAAAACGATGCCTCTTAAAAAAAACACTTATCGGAAGTTCTTCAGAGTAACTTACGTTGTGCTGGGAAACGTGTGTGTGAGTGCAGGGTGGATGGAATTTAAATGTCTGTGTGTGTTTATACATGCTTGACCTGGGCGGGTGAGTGTGTTTGTGTGCGTCAGATATATATGACATTGTGGGGACCAATGGAGTCGGGGCTAAGGTGGTCATTGTTGGTATTAGGGTTTTGTCCATTGGACGGTCTGTGTGTGCCTTTCCATAGGCTGCAGCATTGCCATGGGGACATAAAGGAAGAAAAAAAAGTCCAATAAAAGTCCACGATGATTTTCAGTGATGCTCTTCAGTGCCACTGCAAGAGGCTCCAACTCAGAGCTTCCAGCTGGAAGCTGTAGAGTCTCCCAGACACGAGGAACCCCAAAGACCAGGTTGGAGACTGGGGAGAGGCGCGCTCACTGGGGCGAGGGAAGGCACCCAACATGTGAAGGAGCCCCACAGAGCTGTCACACACCCAGTTCTGGCTGCTTAGCTTCAGCGACTCAGGCCACGACAGGCTTAGGAGTTTAAGAGCAGCGCCATGCTTAATATCACACGCCATTCCCCCACCAAGGGAAAAGTCCTTTCAGCTTCTGCTTTTCATCAGAACCACTCGCCTGATTTTCGGCCCCTTATGCGAAAGCTGACTTAACGGTTGCCGATCCCCCAGACTTGCTCTGGAGTCTCTGAACTGTCCCCGATGCCCATGTCGGCACAATCCCCACAGCCTCCGTCTGCTAGAGAGGCTTTCATTCTTGGGTCAGGACCGCCAGCGTAGGCATGGCGGAGCGGAGCAGCCCGACTGCAAGGGAAGCTTCTGAGCCAGCTGGCCCAGATTTGACTGTAGAATCCTTCTCAGCCGAACGATGCCAGTTATGTTTCATCGCTACAGAGCTGCTGGTCCCATAGCAGCAGGTCGCAGCTCAGCTCAAACCCTGGTACTTATTCACCGACCCAGACCAGTGCTCACATGATCATGCTACACAGCCAATTCATTTTATATATAGAAAAACAATAATCGCAACACGCACACTGACATGCAATTCATATTTCTAAGACATAATATTAGCATTGATTTGAGAGTATCATTGTCCAAACAGTAAACGGCCAATAAACAAAATAATCAAAACGACCCAATAAGATAAAGAGGAAGGTTAAAGTGAGTGGGAATTACAGCATATTGTTAACACAACATAGTTCTGATGATACCAGTGCCTCAGAGCGATCAAGTCCTGGCTGGTTAAGAGCAGATTTGAAGGAGGCTTGCAGCTGACATGAAGGCCGTGGGTCCGACCACATCCTCCTGTGGCCAGACAGGCATCTGGTCAAGTGGCCTTGCAGATAAGAGTTGTCCATCACTGATTAAGAAGCCCCCCCCCCCCCCCCTCTTTCATAACCCTCATAAAGCCCGGTCACAAGAAGCGGGTAGGAGGAGTGGCAGTCCTGTCCGCTCCCCCTGAGGCCATCACTCACCTGGGGGCAGGTCCGGGTCAGCGGGGGCTGCCTGCGGGACACGGCGGGGCTTGGCGGATAACTTTGCGCTGTCCGAGGCGCTGGGGCCCGTGGAGCCGGAGCCGCAGCTCTCATGGTCGTCCTGCGGAAGGCAAACACCCACAAACAATGACGCTCGGGTCACCCCTCCCCCTTTATAACCCCTACGGCTTTACAAATAAACTCTGGGCCCGGGATGAAAAGAACGATGGGCTCTCCTGCGAAGCCCAAACTCCCATCGTCAGCGACGGAGGAATGTCAGCACGAGGAGGAAACGGACATCTCCTTACTGACGGCCCTCAGATAAACGGGAGTGGGGGGGGGGGAATCCCTAGTTATTTATTGTGCAGCATAAATGCATGGAAGAAAGTGGCTTGTTGTTAAACGAGGAGTCGAAGGACACCAAGAAGACTGAAAAGGGAGGAGAAAGAATATCACTGAGTGATCTCAGCCTAAAACGGGCGACGCCGCGGCCCATCTCTAAGCTACGCCGCGGCCCGTCTCTAAGCTACGCCGCGGCCCGTCTCTAAGCTACGCCGCGGCCCGTCTCTAAGCAATGCCGGGCATCCTGGCGAAAGACCACGTAACATCGCAACAGCCAACCGCTGCCAATTCTGACCGCTGTATAGGCCGTATCACGCAGGAAAGACATTTAAACAAGCAGTAATGATCAACAGGGGACTCGCAGCTCCGGTCAAGCCCCAACGTTCCTCAATTAGGTTCAAATTAATAGATCCGATAAGAATTTTCACTTCCCTCCTCTCTCTGCCAACACCGGAGATCCAAGAGGAGAATTAATCTCCCACTGAAGCAAAACACGAAGAAAGTGAGCCGCCCTCACCTCCAATGTGGCACTGATTAGCGTTTATGAAGCGACGTAACCTTTCCAGCCAAAAAAAAAAAAAAAAAAAGCATGTGCAGACAGTCAAAACTGCGCGGGATCACATCTGGTTAGCATTTAGCGGTGGATAAAAATCGCAGGGCCTCTAAAGTCACAGTTATCCCGAGTAATGTAAACAGCCAAGGTGTCAAAATGAATCACGTCTGCCCCCCCCCCCTCCATCTGACACAGCGTAATGAGCCCTGAGTGAAGAAGATGATTACATTTTAAATGCGCTCTGCATAATCTGGAGGCGGGCTCCCACGGGCACGAGATTCGCCCGTCGCAGTGAAGTAAACACGGCGATGCCGAAACACGCGACTTGAGAGCGCCGGAAAAATATTTACGTGGAGCTCAGCAGAGATCCCGGGCCCCACGAACAGTTTTTCCAGGAATCGCCAAACAACAGAGGAGCAACAATAAATACCCCATCCGTTATGGAAACTGGCAATAATACGTGGGGGGGGGGGAAACCAAACAGTTGATTGCTCACACATCTCTGCAAGTTTCCATCGCTTCAAAGCATCACTCCTTGATGTTTACGCAGTAAAGTGAGATTTAATTTTTTGGTTAAAAAAAAGCTAATTAGGAGACACTAACATTTTTGGGTTTGTTGTAGTTATGGTGCACCGGTACAGAATGCAAAATGAACACACGACCCCTTTAATCACACTCTTATAAAATTCCTGCATTTAAATAAATAAAAAAAAAGGTCTGCCACTTAAAACTGTGTTTGAGGTCCACAGTGCTGTTTGAGGTAGTACAGGAAGATTCTTCTGCCCGGATCAGCAGCCAGACTCTCCTCCTGCGAGACCTTCAGGTGATCACTCCCTACTGCTCCACTCCGAGGGCAAGTGGACAAACCGAGGAGGGTGATGGACCGCAGACATCTGGGAGCTATAATACAACAGCCTTGTCAATAGGGGGCGCTCTGTGGCAGACATGTGGGGTGCCTGGCCGCTTAGATGACTCACGCCTTAACTCACCTTAACCCCCCCCACCCACCCGTATGTCCTCGCCTTTAAAAGCCAGAAGGTAAGTTCCAGCCCTAAACAGATCGGGCATAGTTTGACCTATGAAGTGAAATTGAAACCTAATACGGTCATTGTTAACAGAGCTCAAGGCCATCTCCTCAACATCAATTTGCCTCAAACCAAAGAAACCAGGAGTCCATTTGGTTTGAGGAAAAAACTTTTTTTTTTTTTTTTTAAGTGACATGTTGATAAGGAATAAAAATTCTTTCACAGATTTCATTTTCTACAAAAACAGTGTTTTTTTAAGGGGGGATTCAAACCATCTTAGGAATCTGTAAATTCCACACCATTTAAGTGGTATTAATTAGCACGTGTAAGACCAGCCACTTGTAGCCCCCCCCCCGCCAACCCCCTAGTGAACTCGTAGTGACTTCAAAGGAGCACGCCATGAGGGACGGCCCAGTCACAGAAAATAAACAGGGGAAACCCAAGCCAGCCCTTATCTGGGCAACGCAAACACACCCCTCTCAGGTCTGACACGGCAAGGCCTTGTCCTCCTTGTCATGGCTCAGTGAGAACTGGGAGTGTGGGGGGGGGGGGGCACTCAGACAGCAAACAGTCAGCGAGCGGCTTGCTCCCTGCCTGGGGGTGTCGAGCGACAGCCGGCTCTGTGGGTGAGGAACGAGACTGAGGGGCTAAAATAGCATAATTAAGTGGCCAAGCGGAGATAAGGGGACCACAGACCCAGAGCCGACTACCTGAGCCTAAGCACGACCCCCCCAGACATTCAAAGGCCCCTCAAAATACAGCTCTGCTACCCCCCCCCCCCAATCCAAATACATGCCCCTCTTTCTCTCACACACTGCACAGGAGTTTAACATTTTTAAGCCATTACTACAGCTGGATATTTTACGGTGCAATTTTAGTTTAAGTCCCTTCCTTAGATTATCCACAAATACAGTATCAAGATTCATTCATTCATACAGTATATCACTGTGGTACAGAGAAATGGTTCTGAAACAGGGTGATGTTTCCCAAAATATTTGTCCACCGTAACAGGCACAACTGCGTCCACCTCAACTCCTCTCACCAAACTCAGTTCCGCCCACTAGTGGTAGAGCCCAGACACTGATCAACTGAAAAACTGAAACCAAGGAGAAAAAAAAAATAAGAAAAATTAATATGTTAGCTAGTCAAGTCAGTAGCAACAAATCCACATAAATCTGGATTTAGTGTGAAAGGGACACACATACAACTCACAGCTGCACATTCAATGGTATTACAGCTTTCCATCTCCAGGGACCTAAAACCCTTCCAGCAAAGAACAATTAAAAACTTTTTCCTCCTTGGATGTGTTTTAGACCTGGAGGAGTAAAAAAAAAATAATAAATGGACCAAAAACATAAATGACAGAGTAGGACCGACTCCGGAGAACGTCCAACATTTCACACATTGCCATCAACAGCTTCTCAGGAACACCAAGACTCATCGCTCCCCACTTAAACTGCGCACCACACCCGCAGAAACATCCATCATCTCAGCTAAAAATTAGCTGTTAATAGGTTTTTAATGAAACCGTAACAAACGCGAAAAGCCGTTAGAGTGTGTGATTAAAGACGAGCCTCGTTTGCCCGGCTGAGGGAGTTAAACGAAAGCGGGGAGGCCGGTCCCACCAGCCAGGAGAGGGGGATGAAAAAAAGTAAAGAAAAATATAGCATACAGCTGGAATCCCTGCCAGCTCCCCGGGATTACGCATGCAGACGAACACGGACGGGTATCACAGCATGTCAGCGAGAGCGAAGCTCTGATTGATTCCCTCACTGAAAACGGCTAATTAAAGTGTAAAGCCCCAGAGATCTGGGGACGAAGGGTGCGTCTCTCTCACTGAAAAAAAGGGCAGGCCAACTCCTCGCACCCCCCCTCCCCAAACGCACCATTTGTCAGGGATATTAATACATGGAGAAAACTATTTTAAAGCTAAAGACCTCCATCAGCACCTCTAATGCCTCGCAGTCTACTGAAAGGTCGTTAAAAATATGGAGGAACGAGTCTGACTGAGCACGACTGCAGAGCTCAAACGCATCACACGAATCTCTCATTTTCAATGGAAACTGCGTTGATGCATGAAAAGCAGAAGTTAAGAAGAAATACTTTAGATGAATACACAAGTTGCATGATTTATACGGTGCGAGTGGTAAGAGTGGGAGGTCTTTCTGGAATGACAGAAATCTGTGGGCTGTAATGTTCCTTAAGGCTTGAGGAAAAAACTAAGGAGTGGCTGAGGAAACCTGACGTGTCATTCTGAGCAGAGCCGTGCTACAAACGTGCATGACGCCAGCGATGCCACCGGTGAGAGCCATACAGCGACCGCCACCACCATCAACACCGTGCCACGCCAACTGGCACCAACATGCATTAGACGCTCCACTATGGACCCAAACTCCCACGCCCTCTTCAAACAGGTGAGCTGCAATGCTCAAAGACTATCTGCCTGGCATCTGTGAGGAGTGCATAGAAACATCCATGGCAGTCAAATCACATTTATTCATTACGGGGGGGGGGGGGGGGTTAAACCTTAACTTGTAATTACGAAGCTTGCGTTTAAAACATCTTCCAAACCCTCATTTCTTTCGTACGACCACACACCACAGGCCAGCTAACAATTCAGCACATACTGTACATGTTTGCATTTGCAGAACCGATAAACAACGTACCCCTAACTTCAAACATTTGTCAGTTGTAAAAATCCCTTGAATATTCAGGGGGGGGGGTTTATTTATTTCTTTTTACCCAACTGGATTTCTTCTAGCAATTTCACTTAACAGTCCCCATGCCCAAGAAATTAGCTCACCCACTACAAAGGCAGCGGGCTCCCAGATTTCTTTTGTTACTGTTCTAAAAGTAGAACTGTTTACAAGGTCAGCAAGACCGAAAGTGTTACTAAGCACATTGAGCTCTGCATAATGGCACAATGAAAGCACTCCATTAATTCTCTAAACATGTGCCCCTTTCAGAAGCCCTGAAATAAAACACATTTATTAAAGGGATGTGAAGAGAAAAAGAAAGTTCCAAGTAAACTGCCAAAGGCCGCATAATTACAGAAGTATTTCACACTGGGACCAAGAGGAATCGCGGTGATGTCAGAGCAGAGCCGCAGCCAGGGGGCTGTGCCCGGGCAGGGCGTCATGTTCCTTTAAGCCATCTTCTTCTTGTTCCACGTTGAGATCGGCAGGAAAAGGAACTGAGGGA